CAAATTGTGTTACATTCGAATATCGTAAACGTTTTTAATACAAATGATCCCCTGTCTTTTAATATGTTCAAACCTACCATTACCTCGTAATTATGTAAACGCATGACAGTACATTCTTGTTCTCCTGGATCATTTTGACAATCTATACTTCCATCGGCCGTTACCAAACTTACGCCGTCTACAAATCTTTTAGAAACCGTCTCCAATAAATGTTCGTGATACTTCGGTTGAAATATGTCACCAGTATAGTCCGGACCGAATTCCCATTTGTCTAATGTGTTCAATATTAAGCGGTCGTCAGTAATAATATCAGGTTGACCATTGGATTCATGGTACGGGTTAAGTGTCATGGCCAACCAGTCGAAATTTAAGTTACGATGATTTAGTGATATGTAATGATTCAGTGCAGAAATAAATGCTCCGGGAGCTTCACAGAGATGTACAGAGTTGAAATTAGCTTTGGATGTACGTTCTTGAGTAAGCAAAGAAGAATTGCCTAAGATCTCATAGAACTTACACCAAGCTTGAGTCAAAAAATCAGGACGTATATTTTTCTTAAGATGACCAATGACTAATCCAGCAGGATTCATTTTGGTCGTATGTGCATGCCATGTTTCGCTGTTGAAGTTGTCCAGTTTGTTCTTAACGAAATTCAGCTCTGATTTCAGTTCTTGAAACTTGTGTAATTGCCAAGAAGGCTTTGTAAACATACTACTCGAGCGCGGCATTCGCCAATTTGTACTAAGTACAAACTTTTTAGAGAACGCTATAGCTTTTTCGTTATGTTCGGTTTGAGGTGTCATTGTGTGAAAAAATACTTAAACTTTCTTCGTTCACGTCAAATCGCCTCCTGAAGAGAAAACTATTTATTTTATCTAAGCATATAAAATTTTGTTTCCTAGAAACGGATTTCTGTATGTTTATTTATGAATAAAAATAACTATTGGCCTAAACTAAAATTAAATAATTATTCCACGATAAAATTTTATACTTTTAAATAAAATAATTATACTAATGTAAGTAATCAACTTTCAAACTAATGTAAATAATCAACTTTCAGAGTAATAAAAAAAGAATATACTTATCAATTTTGAAAAATATATTATTATTTTTTTTTGATAAAAAACCTTATTTTTAAGCCAACGTTTTTTAAATTAATGTTTTACATAGTTTACATATTACGGGGATTTTATGTTAAAAAGGAAGTACACAAAAGAGGTNTTATGTTAAAAAGGAAGTACACAAAAGAGGTAATTGCACTTTAAAGTATTCATTAGGAGCTCCATTTAAAATGTATTATTACTATAAGTTATAATTCTTATAAAATATTAAAATTTTAAAATTAAATAGATTTTATTTTAAAATAATTTTCATAATGTTATTTTTATAAATAAAAATCCCAGCACAGGGGGGGTGTGGCATAGTTGGTCCCAGTATCTGGATTAAAATCATTATCATAAAAAACGCTTTGATGCAAATCTGTAGATTGTGTTTAATTTTAAAAAATTGGTGAATTATTCCAAAAGCTATATGATCTCCTATTTCCTTATTTATATTCTGATTACAAGTTTAATGATTTATAAGTATAATATATAAATGGTCTGATTAAAAAAAAAAGTGTGTTGCATAAAAGAAAAATATAAATAGTACTTATCTTAAAAAAGTTATTATGATCCATACATTTTTCAAAAAGTTATAGCACTATAAAGTTAAAAATATAAAAAAAATACGATTTTTGTAAAAAAAATTTTTTTTATTAACTTTGATGTCCGTTTTCACCATGAAAATAAAATAAAGTCCAAAATTTATTTTTTCATAATGAAGTATATTACATAAGCTTTAATTTAAGTGTCAAATTTATAAAAAAAAATGTACCAAATGATAGGTAAAGACATTATGTATCTATAAAAAAATATATAAAATTATATTTTTAAGTAAAAGTAATTTTTTTGGAGATTCCCAAATTAAAGGGGAACGAGAGAATTTTTTTCAATTTTTGAGGATAATGTCTTCAACTAGATACGATTTGTGATGTTTTGACGTATCGCTAAAAGAAATCGGTTTGGTGAGGGCTGAGTAAAAGTGATAACAGACACAAAAAAGATAAAAGCACATCATAGTAAAATGAATATCTTCTCAGCTTCGCATCAAATTAAAATTATTCTTTAACACTTTAAACTTCAAGTAATATTTTTAATATACTTGTATGTCGAAATAGTAGATATTTAACAAGAATGTTTAAAGGGAAATTTACAAAATTTAGAAAATCTTATTCTTCAAAGAAAATTACACCTTTAAAGAAAATATATATGTATGTTATAATTTGCAATTGAGACAATTTCCCTCCAAATTAAAATAATACAAATTACAATTTTATAAATTGTTACATATGAACACATAGAAAATAATTTCTATTTCTTATTATACCTAAAGGAAATATAAAAATAATACATATAAATATAATACAAATATAATACAAAATCTTTATGTAATTAAATATATTAAAAAGATTATAAATACAGTTCTTATGGCTTTTCAATAGTTAAATTAGTTGTTTAAAAGACACATAGAAAAAAAATAAACTCTAAAAAATTACATATAAAAAAGAAAACTTAAACCATCCTAGGTTTTACAATATAATCAGGTTTATTATGTTTTGCTTACAGTTTTAAAATTAAATATAATGAAATTATATCAAAAGATTAAAAGCCAACTGTATTAATTTTTGCTATTTCAATCTTAAAATTATAAAATTTATTATTAGTTATAATATATTGTAAAATTCAAAAATACCAGTTGATTAAAAGTACGAAAATAAATATTTTTAATTCTAAAATAGTTTTACAATTACAACTATTAATTATAGACTGAAAATTATAAAGTCAAATCAATTAATACTGCCATTACCATAATAATAATAAAATATCTACAATTTAAAGTATATAAGTCTAAAAATATATTTATATATATATATAGAGAGAGATTGTATAGACTGATGTAGTACATATTGCACCAATAAATGAAATACAAATCAAACTAATGATTAATATATGCAAAGTATATTGATGAAAACGTATAAAGATGAACTGTATTTTAAGAAAAGTCAATAGCAATAAATTTCTTTTAACAAATGAAAATGAATTACCCATGCAATAAATCCAATAGCGATGACTGTCATCAATCTCTAGGTTAGTTGTTATCCTGGCACCACAACAGTAGCACAGTCTAAAAATTATAATAATTATGATAATTGACCTCTGGACTTGTCTTATATATTATACTTACAATATTTTATGACTCTCAAAATACACCCCGAATGAAAGTAACTCTCACTTATATCCAACACACCTTTAAATATTATTACATTTTAATCTTTTATTAATAAGTTCAAAAGCTAATAAGTGTTTATCTCAGTTTTATTTAAATTATAAATTTTCAGTAACGATAAGTGGCGCTCAATTACAAGCTTAGTTAATTTTAACTAAAGGTTATAATTTAATATTACATAACTAATATAAAAACAAAGAAATTTTTGACATAAAGATAAAAAAACCAGCACAGGGGGTCGCGGCATAGTTGGGTCAAGTATAATGATGTCTGACAGTGATTTAAATCACTATCATAAAAAACGCTTCAATACAAATCTGTAGATGTTTAATTTTAAAAAATTAAAGCTTTAATCATGTAGCTTTAAAAATTTAAAGCTACATGATCTCCTATTTCCTTATTTATATCCTGATTACAGGTTTTATGATTTATAGGTGTAATATATGTATATATATAAAAGTGTCAGACTTTCTGGAACACTTTCAAAAGTTAATTTTTTGTGAAAAAGTTGTCATTTTGAATTCTCCCCTGTGGGCATGTAAAGGATCATATTTATAAAAAAAATATGTAAAATGATAGGCAAAGATCATACATCTATAAAAAAAAAATATATTGATTTGATCATATTTGAAAAAATTATGGCAGTTTTAAGTAAAAAAAACCCAGCACAGGGGGTCACGGCATAGTTGGATCGANCCCAGCACAGGGGGGTCGCGGCACAGTTGTGACGTGGCATAGTTGGATCAAGTATAATGATATCTGACAGTGATTAAAATCACTATCAAAATAAAACGCTTCGATGCAAATCTTTAGATAGTGTTTAATTTAAAAAAAAANTACTACTTCTCATGAAAAAATTGTATTGATCCATACATTTTTTAAAAAGTTATAGCACTTTAAAGTAAAAAATGTAAATTATAAAATCGAGAATTTTCACACAAAAATAGCATTCGATAGCCATTTTCACCATGAAGACAAGTCCAGTGGTCAAATTTTTTTACGTTTTCATCAATATACTTTGCATATATTAATCATTAGTTTGATTTGTATTTCATTTATTGGTGCAATATGTACTACATCAGTCTATACAATCTCTCTCTCTATATATATATATAAATATATTTTTAGACTTATATACTTTAAATTGTAGATATTTTATTATTATTATGGTAATGGCAGTATTAATTGATTTGACTTTATAATTTTCAGTCTATGCATCTGTTTTGCCCGGTCGACTGTGATTGATTAACGGCCAACCGACCCAAAGAGTGCTGGCTCTAATTCATGTTGGTTGTATTACACAGGTAACTGATTTTTACTTATTTTATTTGATATAAATTTAATTACTCTTTTAATTTAGTACAAATAATTTAAAATTTTTAATGCTTTTCAAATATAAACGCACAAAGTTTTTTCACTATTAGAATAGATCACAGTTATAGTAAATAAAAATTTTAAATGAATAACTCAAATGTATTATATGATTATTATTATTTTTAATTTATTGTAATCCGTTACAAAACTTATAATAACCATTGAATATTTTAATGGTTAACAAGTTTTTTTAAATTTTTGACCTTAAGTGAGGTATTTAAAAAAAAAAAAAATGTATTTATTTAAAAGTCTATTAATCATTAGTTAATAGGATATTGCAAAAAAATGGAAAAAATAAATGAAAAACAACAACAAAATCATTAATCTCATAATTAAAACATAATGTACTATTTACACTGATTTATATTTATTGTAGACAAAACTGAGAATTAATTGAGTTTTTAAAAATAAAAATTTTATGAAACTGGATCCCATTTTTTTGTTTCTCTTGTTTTGAACATAATTTCAGATAATTTATGATATTTTGGATTGAATCCTTCTTCGTGTGTATTTCCTTCAGCCTGTAAAATAATTTCTTTTATTTAGTAAATAACAAATAAATAATCTTATATGCGCCCTACTCGTTTACTAAAATTCTTCCGCTGTGACGTTCTGCTGAACTTCTAATTATATATACAGTATTTTATTCCCTACCAACGCTTGTTACCTATTTGTCTACAGATTTTTATTATTATTATTTTAGGCGTTACGTTATCACTTAATTTTTGATTAATTATCAAATTAAGTAATTGTGCGATGTTGTACACGTCCTATACGTATTTATATGGCAATGTATTTTAGCCTCATCTACAAATAAACTGAATTAATATTATATTGAAGTTTTTTTTTAATCGATATTTCGTTTAATTTTATTGATAAAACCAATTATTATCACAAAAAATTAAATGTGTATGATTTTTACAAATTATAAATTGTGTCGATATAATGTACATTAGTGAACATTACCATTAACAAAAACTAATAATTATAGAAAAATTTATAGATCGATCTAAATTTTCTTTTCATTTTGTTTTAAAGTTGATCATTCAGTAGCACCAGAACCGGGGGGCAGTTGCCCCCTTGGTCAAAATACGAAGGGGCAAAAATATCATTATGCCTCCCAATAGAATCTGACAAAAAAAAATTACAATAAATCTGGAAATTAATATAACACTACCATACCTAATTATTTAACCATTCAGATTTTAGGATTAAGAAGTATTAATGAATTTACTGAACTCCAGTTGAATATCAAAAAACGGTAGCACAGTGGAGTCGTGGGACAGTATGGTCGTGGCATAGTTAGGATAAGTATAGATGATATCTGACAGTGATTAAAAACCCTATCATAAGAAATGCTTCGATGCAAATCTGTAGATAGTGTTTAATTTTAAGAAATTAGTGGATTATCCCAAAAGCAAAATTAACTCCTATTTTTTGTTCTACTACGCCTGTCATTTTCATATAGAAAATAAGTTATCGGTACAAAATTTTTTTAGAACTTCTAATACATAGAATAAGTCTTATTTTAATATATATTTAAAAGACGCAGATTTTATATGTATTTCTGGAATATTTTTAAAAATTAAGTTGAAAAAGTTCTATTTTTTATACGCATGTTTCAAATTTTGAACGCCTTCTGTATAAGGAAAAATTGACGGAAAAAAGTAACTTTTTAAAAAAAGTATGTCGGATGAAAAAGGTATATATAATGTATTTAGAAGAAAAAAAAATTTGTGTTTATTTATACATTTTTCAAAAAGTTATAGCAATTTAAAGTTGAAATTTTAAAATAAAAAAATTTAACATAAAAATAGCAATTTTTAAGTATGGTAGCCGTATGCACGTCGAAGATCAGTCATTGGAGCACATTTTTTTTAAATATATAGTACGTATTATAAGCTTTAATTAGACATATGTTTAAAAAACACTGTATATAAGTGTCAGACTTTCTGGAACACTTTCAAAAGTTAAATTTTTGTGAAAAAGTTGTCATTTTAAATCCCCTCCTGTGGGCTTGTAAAGGGTCAGATTTATAAAAAAATATACTAAATGAAAGGGAAAGACATCATGTATCTATAAAAAAAAATATATTGATTTGATCATATTTGAAAAAGTTATGGCAATTTTAAGTAAAAAAATTGAAAAATTAGCAATTTTAAAATTTGTAATTTTTTTGGAGGTTTCCGCCATTTACGGTGAACGAGGGAAAATTTTTCAATTTTTGAGAGTAATGTCTTCGACTAGATGCGAATTGTGATCTTTTGACGTATCGTTGAAAGAAACCGGTTCGATGAGAACTGAGAAAAGAAGTAACAGACACAAAAAAAGAAAAAAAAAACACAACATATTAAACTTAATACCTTCTCAGTTTCGCATCGAAGCTAAAAAAGCTATAATACTATTCATGTTATTAACATTTAATGTTCACATTTAAACTAGTTATATGTCCTAATGTTACATTAAACCATATCATTACTCCCACATTAGATACGGTCAGGTACTTGGAAATCATCTTAGATTAGCGACTAACCTGGATTCATTATATTAGCAATACAAAATTAATAAACGAATGCTCATTCTAATACTCTTTTTAATTAAAAATAACTTTCTAAATAACAATCTAAAATCTTAATTTTTAATCTAGAAAACCCTACTCAAACCTATTTGGACTTACAGACCGCAAAAATTTTGGTAAACTGCAAAAAAATCTAATTTAAAAAAAATCCATAAGGTCCAAAATATAACACTCTGGCGAATCTCCAATACCCTACCATATGTTTCTAACTGAAAACTTTAAGTTAATTTTGCTATTAAAACTATTAAGAAAGAAACACACAATTTTTATCCATATATCTCTAAATAACTTCAAAATCATCCAAATCCCTTAATAAAATACCTATCCACCTCCACAACACCAGGAAATCTTCGCTGTAGGCTAAACAGGAAGAAATGTGATTTGTTTCAAACTCATTTGTTGCATTAATTCAAAAAAAAAAAAAAATTAAAAATAAATATTTAAGAAATAAATAACTAATATTTAATTCTTGAGTGTTGCTTATGGGTGACTTTTAATGACATTTACATTTTATATATTTACCCTTATCTTATTAGCTTATTGTACAAAAAAATGTATAGATTGTTTATGTTAAATAAAAATAAGAATTGAAATTAATAGTTTATAGAACTTTTTTGGGAAAATAATGTTTATATACATTTTATTCGCAATTATTTTTTATAGTATAATACTCTTTATTTATTTATTTTTATTTTGTTTGTGATTTTTAAATAATTAACTTTTGTATATATTAATTTTTTGTAGTAATCTGGTGATTAACCAAGTTTAAAATTACTAATTATAATATAGTTTTTTAATACTCAAAGACTATTTATTTATTTTAGCTTTGATGCGAAGCTGAGAAGGTATTAATTTTACTATGATGTGTTTTTTTTTTTATTTTTTTTTTTTTTTCTGTGAACGCTCAATCTCAGCTCTCGCTGGACCGATTTTGATGAACAATATGTCAAAAGATCACAAATCGTATCTAGTCGAAGACATTACCCTCAAAAATTGAAAAAAATTCCCTCGTTCCCCGCAAACGGGGGAAATCCCCCAAAAAATTACAAATTTAAAAATCGCTAATTTTCGATATTTTTTCAATTTTTTTTACTTAAAATTGCCATAACTTTTTTAAAAATGATCGAATCAATATAATTTTTTTTTTATAAATATCTTAGATATTTACCTATCATTTTATATAATTTTGTGAACATTTGACCCTTTAACAGCCCACAGGAAGGGTTTCAAAATGGTGGCTTTTTTACAAAAAATTAACTTTTGAAAATGTTCCGGAGAGACTGACACTTTTATATATATCTTAAATTAAAGCTAATGTAATATACTTTAATTTGAAAAAAAAAAATTTGACCTCTGGACTTGTCTTCATGGTGAAAATGAATACCGTATGCAAAAATATGCTATTTTTTTGAAAAAATTCTTGATATTATATTTTACATTTTTTAACATTATGATGCTATATTTTTTTTAAAAATTCATGAATCAACTTTATTCTTTAATGATAAATACTTTATATATACTTCTTTCATTCGACATACTTTTTTTTAAAATCGGACCATTTCCCTTTATACAGGGGGGGTGCAAACCTTTTAAAATGCGTATAGAAAGTAGAACTTTTTCAACTTAACTTTTGAAAATGTTCCGGAAAGACTGACACTTTTATATATATCTTAAATTAAAGCTTATGTAATATACTTTAATTTGAAAAAAAAAAATTTGACCTCTGGACTTGTCTTCGTGGTGAAAACGGACATCAAAGTTAAAGAAAAACGTACGATTTCCGTGAAAAAAATCTCGATTTTATATGTTATATTATTTAATTTATATTTTATATAACTTTTGGAAAAATGTATGGATCAATATTATTATTTTTTTATAATAAATATTTATATACCCCTTTCATCTGGCACGCTTTTTTTGTAAATCGGATCATACCCCTTTAACAAGGGGGGTCAAAACTTTAAACATGCGTATTGTTACTACGATATTTTCAATTTAATTTTTGAAAGTATTCCGGAAATACTGACACTTTTAAATATATCTTAAATTAAAGCTTATGTAATATACTTTAATGTGAAAAAAAAAAATTTGACCTCTGGATTTGTCTTCATGGTAAAAATGACTACCGTATGCAAAAATATGCTATTTTTGTGTTAAAATTCTGGGTTTTGTATTTTATTTTATTTTAAAATACCTGACAAGGGGAGTACAGATTTTCATAAATATTATATAAATTAAAATTGATATAGTATAGATAGTTAAACTTATTTAAATATGTTTGTTTCTTTTAAGTCGAGAAAAATAACTTTGAAATTTGAACTAGCTTAAATAGCCAATTTTTCAACCGCCGGAAGCAACGTACGGTTGCCGAGTTGGTAAAATTTATGTTTTACACGCTTGGGGTACGAGGTTCCAACCCGCGTATGGCAATGAATTTTTTGCATTTTTTCTTAACTCTATTTAAGTTGGTATAAATTTTTAACTCGTTTGAATTTTATCTCATTTAGATTCAATAACTTCAATAAAGATCAAGGATCCCATCACTTTAGTCGCCCCTTGCAAGAAGAAATTTCTTATTCGTATTAAAATTATTTTACTATATTTTAAGTTTTAGCTTCGATGCAAAGCTGAGAAGATATATTTTTGTGACTATCATTTATATCTCTGCCTCTAACTTGACCTACTTTTTTCAACAATACGTCAAATTACTACAATTCGTATCTAGTTGAAGATATTACTCTCAAAAATTGAAAAAAAAATTCTAATTTATCAATTAAACAGTTAGTTATTACATCGTCTCCATAAAGACAATTAAAATCATTAATTTCTAATGTTTTCAAAATATTTATTAACGAATGAAGTTTGATATGATAGGTTTCAACTACAAAATTAAATCATTTTACTTTGTAATTTAATAAT